TGACAATGGAGACAGGTGGACTAGACCTTGCTTGAGTCCGTGGAGGGCTTTTCATCAGAACAGTGACATGATCTGACACAAGTTATAATAGAAAGGCTCTGGCTGTTCTGCTGAGAATACACAGACAATGGGGGGCAAAGGTGGAAACAGGGTGGATCTTCGATAGCAACGTGCCACAATCACCATGGCATGTCTATGATTTGGCCTGGAGTCATCTCTGCACACATTTTTAGCCATAACACATCACATTACCTCGTCCATCCGTGCCCATATTTGTAGGTGACCAAAATTCTTGCTATTTTTAAAATCAGAAAAAAATTACATGCAGGAAATTCTCAGATCTTAAATGAGCCATTTAATTAGTTTTGACAAATGCAAATCCAGACACAGAATATTTCTATCAGTACAGAAGTTTCCTTCTTGCCCCTTTTCAGTCAATCTCTACCCCAAGAAGCAACTACTGATCTGATTTTTCTTACCTGCCTATTCTAAAATTTCATGTAAATAGAATCATAACTATATACTTTTCTGTGCCTGGCTTCTTTCAGTCAGTTTAATATTTTTAAGATTTATCCATGTTCCGTATATATCAGCAGTTTGTTCTCTTGCATTGTTGAGTACGATCCCCTTGCATAGATGTACCGTGACTTATTTATCCATTGTCCTGTTTATGGTTATCTGGATTGTTTCCACATTGGGACTATTATAAATAAAACTACTATGAACATTCTTGTACAAGGCTTTTAATGGATGTATCTTGTCATTTCTCTTGGACAATCACCTAGGAGAGAAATTGCTGGGTCATAGAATAGACATATATTTAATTTTATTTTTAAAACTGCCAAACGGTTTTCCAAAAGTGATTGTAGCATTTTACACTCTCACCAGCAAGGCATAAGACTTCCGCTGGCTCCACATCCTCTCCACCGTGTGCTGGGTCAGTCTCCTCGGCCTTAGCCACTCTAGTGGTTATGTGGTGGTACCACTTTGTGGTTTTAATTTGTACTGCCTTGAAGGCCAGTGATATTGAACACTTTTAAATTTGTGTATATTCTTTGGTGGAAGAGTTTGTTCAACTTTTAGCCCATTTGGGGGGATGGTTGTTTGTCTTCTTATTACTGAGTTGTAAGAGTTCTTTATATATTCTGGATACAAGTCTTTTGCCAGACATAGATGTTGCAGATATTTTCTCCCAGTCTCTGCATGGTAGTCAGCCTCCTAGATAGCCCACAATGCTTCTTGCCTGCTGGCATTCATGCCTCTGTATAGGCCTCTCTCACACTGAGGCAGGGCTGACCTGTGGAACGAATAAGAGGCTGTAGGAGTGACCTCTGGCAAATGGCATAAGGCCCCAAGATGCTAGGGGGCCCGCCAGGGAGGACAGCAGGGTGGTGCGCCATGGGGAACTTAAAAGCCAGCTTTGGAACCAATTACAATTGGCTTCTCGCTCGTTTTTTGCGCTTTCCTAGCCCTTCTCTAAGCTTAGCTAGGGAATCCTTGACCACTCCAGAGTGGTCGGCGTAGAANTTATTACTGAGTTGTAAGAGTTCTTTATATATTCTGGATACAAGTCTTTTGCCAGACATAGATGTTGCAGATATTTTCTCCCAGTCTCTGCATGGTAGTCAGCCTCTAGATAGCCCACAATGCTTCTTGCCTGCTGGCATTCATGCCTCTGTATCGGCCTCTCTCACACTGAGGCAGGGCTAACCTGTGGAACGAATAAGAGGCTGTAGGAGTGACCTCTGGCGAATGGCGTAAGGCCCCAAGATGCTAGGGGGCCCGCCAGGGAGGACAGCAGGGTGGTGTGCCATGGGGAACTTAAAAGCCAGCTTTGGAACCAATTACAATTGGCTTCTCGCTCGTTTTTTGCGCTTTCCTAGCCCTTCTCTAAGCTTAGCTAGGGAATCCTTGACCACTCCAGAGTGGTCGGCGTAGAAGCAACACTCTTCTTTGGGGGCGGCACATAATCCTCCTTGCTGCAAAAACAGCAGGTCTAAGTCCACGTCGATTCTGTAAAACAGCTTCACAAAGTGATGTTAGCCATTTTTTTATTTTAAATGTGATACAGACACCTCCAAGCGGCCAAGATCTATGTCCACTGCCTCCCTAAGGGAAGCCACCTGTTGATGTGCCAAGGCTATTCCGGCGGTCCCGGTACCCACTCCAATAACTCCCAGGAGGGAGCTGATGGCCACCGCAGCTGCCCCTGCAGCCCGCTTGTTTCGGGTCCGCTTATTTCGGGTTTTGGGGTCGGTGAGATTTGCCACAGTGCTGCAAGAGGGTTTGTTGGCACCTACGCAGGAACCATTGCCAAGGACCTGCGGGAAGGTGAGTCCGGGGTTGGTGGCATTGGGCAACGCTACTGCTGGGTTTTTCTCTGCCTGCACATGGCACTGTTCTTGAAAGCAGGCGCGGAACTTGATAAACAAGCTTGGAGGGAGAAGAGCCTTCCAGAGCATTTTCCACGGGCTGCGGACGGCTGGGGCTTCCCAGCGAGCCATAACAGGAAAACCCTGCAGCGCTGCCGGGGATGATTTTCTAGCCTCGTCCACTTCTTCAGGGGCCGCTTTTTCTCCTTCAGCTAAACTCTGGCGGGGTGAATATGCCGGGAGAGGAGAGTACAGGCTAGGGGCAGAGGTATCACTCGGTGGCTCAGGGCCTTGCATTGGCAGCTTTATTTCCTTTTTCCTCTCATCAGCTGCGCCCAATCCCTCTCTGCCCCTTCCTGATGCTCGGGATGGAAACAAAGCCTTAGGACAGAGACGGAGAACCCTAAGAGGGGGTCTAGCCCGTGACTCATCTCGTTCTTTCTGGCCAGGGTCCGAACCCGGTCCCAAGTCTCATACGAGAACAAGTTGGACGAAGGTGCCCAAGGGGCCACCATCATCACATGACGCCAGGCATTGGTGGCCCTGGAGTCAGATATTTCTAGGCCTCTGCTTTTCAAAATGTACTTTAGAGCCCTGCAGCCTGTCGCGTCACTCTGTCCACACAGCCTCCCATGGTGCCCCGCGAGGAAGGGACAAAGGGAACAACAGGACAGAGAAGTGCAGGGACTTCCCCCTGTTTTGTTTGTTTGTTTGTTTCTTTGTTTGTTTGTTTGTTCGGTTAATCAATTTTAATGGAACCAAATGATTATACAATCAAATTGTATATACATTCACAAAAAAACCATCNCTTGTTTCGGGTCCGCTTATTTCGGGTTTTGGGGTCGGTGAGATTTGCCACAGTGCTGCAAGAGGGTTTGTTGGCACCTACGCAGGAACCATTGCCAAGGACCTGCGGGAAGGTGAGTCCGGGGTTGGTGGCATTGGGCAACGCTACTGCTGGGTTTTTCTCTGCCTGTACATGGCACTGTTCTTGAAAGCAGGCGCGGAACTTGATCAACAAGCTTGGAGGGAGAAGAGCCTTCCAGAGCATGTTCCACGGGCTGCGGACGGCTGGGGCTTCCCAGCGAGCCATAACAGGAAAACCCTGCAGCGCTGCCGGGGATGATTTTCTAGCCTCGTCCACTTCTTCAGGGGCCGCTTTTTCTCCTTCAGCTAAACTCTGGCGGGGTGAATATGCCGGGAGAGGAGGGTACAGGCTAGGGGCAGAGGTATCACTCATTGGTGCAGGGCCTTGCATTGGCAGCTTTGTTTCCTTTTTCCTCTCCTCATCAGCTGCGCCCAATCCCTTTCTGCCCCTTCCTGATGCTCGGGATGGAAACAAAGCCTTAGGACAGAGACGGAGAACCCTAAGAGGGGGTCTAGCCCGTGACTCATCTCGTTCTTTCTGGCCAGGGTCCGAACCCGGTCCCAAGTCTCATACGAGAACAAGTTGGACGAAGGTGCCCAAGGGGCCACCATCATCACATGACGCCAGGCATTGGTGGCCCTGGAGTCAGATATTTCTAGGCCTCTGCTTTTCAAAATGTACTCTAGAGCCCTGCAGGCTGTCGCGTCACTCTGTCCACACACGCCTTCCATGGTGCCCCGCGAGGAAGGGACAAAGGGAACAACAGGACAGAGAAGTGCAGGGACTTCCCCCTGGTTTTGTTTGTTTGTTTGTTTGTTTGTTTGTTTGGTTAATCGATTTTAATGGAACCAAATGATTATACAATCAAATTGTATATACATTCACAAAAAAACCATCTTGCAAGCTTTCTGGGAACTGTAGAAAGAAAGCAGTGGGGAGCACCTCTTTGTGGAGATTCTCCAGTTGGAACGAGACATTAGTATTTCGGTCTCTTCGCTTCAACCCCATCAGCTTCCATCTCCTTCCTCTTCTCAAGGATTGCACTCATTTTCTTCCACTGGCGATCAAGCTCTGCCTTGTCATTGGTTTCCTCGAAGCGCCTAGTTTTCCGCCCTTCAGACATCTTGGTACCATAGTGGAAAGCAGCCTTGGGCAAAGCCTCTTTGTTGTTCATATACTCGCTGGATTCCTCCTGGGTATCAAAGTCCCAGCGACCTAAGGGGCCCTTTTTATTACCCTGGTCCACTTGGCTAGAATCCACCTCCTTGTCACTATCCACGGCCATGTCGTCCGTCGTAGCTGGGTGGCACTCTGCACAACTGCTGGACATGCCCAAGAAATCTCCCAGCTGCTTTCTGTCTTCTGGCTTCATTCGCGATTCAGGGCCTTCCCGGCTGGCACACCCAGCAAACTTGTCATGGATGGACTCGATCAACTCCTTGGCAGACCCAGGTCCTTTGTCAACGTCCGTGGGCTCATCGTCCACTTTCGGCTTCTCAAAGGAGCTGAGCCTCTTCTCTTCCTCCTCTCTCTCTCGCTCCCGCTCTCGCTCGCGGTCTCTGTCTCTCTCTCGGTCACGCTCCCTTTCCCGATATCGCTCCCGCTCCTCGTCCCGGGGTGTCTTGGTGGTGGAAGGGACATAATCCCCAATGTCTTCAAAAATGTTCATGGCAGCCTCGGGAGGTTTCTTCTCTTCCAGCTTTCCTTGATCCTTCTTCTTGAGCTTCTTGTGGCGGGTCCCCTGCCTTAGGTAGGAAAGAATCTGAGTGAGCTTGCTGATGACAATGTCATTTGTGGTCAGTGTCGTCTGGGCTTCCATGGTGGGGCCATCAGCCTTGCTGCGGACAAGCGTGGTGGGGATGTCTGTGCCAGCACACTCGTCATCCAGGTCGACCACATAGGCCATGCGGCCTGGCAGGAACAACTCATTCCGCTCATATGCTTTGCTCTTGAAAAGCACACGGTAAACATTGCGGCCCAGACGGGTTTTAAGTTCAAATTGATTTTCCGCATCCTCCTCTTTCTTGGTCTCCTTCTGGGGCTTTTCCATCACTTCTTCCCCCTCTTTCTCTTTGCTGGCAATCTCAGCTCGTACCTTTTGAAGGAGAGCAAAATCCAGGCCTTTCACCAAATGGGTGTGCTCCATGTCACCACCCAAGAATTTGGACTCCTGGATCAGCTGTCTTCTCTTCTCTGCAGCGGATTTGTCCGCCTCAGCAGTGGGGCCCACCGCCCTGTAGTGAGCTGCGGTGCTGATCAGCTCGGTGTCCTCATGGTCTTTGCTCACGCCATCTCTCCGTTCCTTGGCACGGTCCCGGTACTTGTCTGCCAGCTCTCTCTCTCTCTCAATTTCTTGTTGGCGTCGCTTTGCATAATAACTTTTCTTCTTCCTCCTTCGTGCAGCTGGGCCTTCATCCTCATTGCACGCCCTTGGCATCTCATGGTGACGTGACTTAGAGGGTGGAGCAGAAGTAGGTGCAGCCCTTGGGCTCATGAGAAGTTTCCTGAAGTCTTCATTAGTAAGTTTTGATTGGTGGAAGGAGTGAGGATCATCCACATCGTGGCCATCTGGGGCCAAAAGGTTGGAGAACAGCTCACTATCTCGCTCCGGCATCGTGTCCGCTGTCTTTGGACGCCAGCAAGGACTGAGGCTCTGACAACACTGCGGCGACAAACAATCCTTTTCCCACAGGGCACCTCAGAAATCAACCCACAGTGCTTTGCGTCCCGAGCCTTCCCGCTTCCTCCCTCTCCCGTCTGTCCTGGCCTGTGCGCCTTGTTCTTTCGTTATTTATTTTTTCTGCCGAGCAGTTCCGTTTATTAGCACACAAGCCCTTGTTTTTCAAGGCAAATGGGGAAGGGAGGTGTTTTACATCCTCCAATCAGCTTAAGGGTCCTGTCTCAAGGCCCACCTATTGCAATCAGCAGTGTTCCCGAGTGCGGCCTATGAAGGGCTCAGGCAAGGTTCCCGCAGACACTCCCACCCTCCTTCCTCCCGGCGCCGTCTCAGGCTGCCACGTTAATCCACGTGTAAGGTCACTTTACGGCGGCGTTAGTTTTTAAAGCCCGACATCTAAAGGCAGCTGGAGGCGGCTAACCTTCCCAGCCTCGCCTCCATTCCCTCTGGTGGCTGTGCCTGTCTTAGGTTGTGTCCCTCTGGAAATCTGACCCGTCACTGACTCTCCAGCCAAGCGGGGGCGGGGCGGAGCCTTAGACATTGGCCTTGATTTCTTGAAGGGCCATATTGACCCAAGGGCTGTCAGGGCTTTCTCTATGGGCCACCTCCTCTACCACCTGGGTGAGCCTTACGAGAGAAGTGGTGTTGCGCCTTATAAGGGACACAACCTGGCGAATGGCGTAAGGCCC